TCCTGGCTCCCAGAGTACAGACATTGCTGCCTGTCTCATACAGTCAGAACAGAACAGGGTGTGAACTCAACTTGCCGTGCGTCTGTGGGTCTCACTTCCCCCTCTGATCTCGTGCCCTTGAGAGTTTGCTTCCGGCTTCTTTTCTGCAGTGTGGGCGTGCTCCCTGCAGTGGGGTGGGAGGGAAGAGGTTGTGTGAGTGAAAAGTTGGGATAAGTGAGTCAGGGCCCACGGGGGCTTCTCTGAACAAGGCAGGACTTTGAACTTGATCCAGGAGTTTTAGGGAGCCTGGATGGGTGCTTGAGCACAGAAGTGATGGGACAGAAGCGTTTTGGGAAGGTTCGTCAAGCAGTGGTCACAGAGTGGACAAGAAGAGGCGAGAGTGGATTCTGGGACTGTTGTGTGGTCGGGGCATGGAAGGGATAAGGCTGCAGTCCAGGGGAGTTGCCGACAGGGAGGGATGGATAAGAGACATTTCGAAGGGAACAATGATGACAAAATGGGAATGAGGATGAGGGAAAGGGATGACTGGGATGACTGGGACAGGGGTGGGGAGTGCCTAGACCTAACCTCTCTCTTCTGCCCCACCCCATCCTGTAGCCATCAACAGGCAAGGGGGCTTTTCATTTCTAATGGGCTTTTGTGGTGGGATGTGACCCCAGCTTAGAAATTTCCCCCCTTAAACATGCTCCTCCTGCTTGTAAACCTTGCAGAAAAGAGACACTTTCTATCTCTCCTCCCCACTGCTCTCCCCTTTCAGGCCCAGGCCTGGCCCCTTGGCCCAGTGGAACCTGGGTGCAGTTCTGCAGGTAGGTGAGCTCATGGCAAATTAGCATTCCAAGCTGGTGTTCCTTTCTCCTGCTTTGCCGCAGTGGGAGCTGTGCAGAGACTGGAGAGAATGACAAGTACCTTACGGGCTCTCCTGGAGCCCCCCCTCCCAGCCCAGTCCCTGGCTTCTCTGCCCTTTTCACCTGGGAGAAGCCAGGCCAAAAATATCTGCCCAGAGATGTCACCTTCTTCACAAGATTTAGGTGACGAGGCAGAGGGTGCTGCAGTGGCCTGGGAAGAGGAGCTGGGCAGATTCTGCAGTGGAAGTTGGGGTGCTATCACTTGCCATTCCTGTCAGCCCACCAGGGAAGCTGCAGCCCCTTCCTCCTGGGCAAGGATCCATTTTCTCTGCAAAGCCTTTTCCTTCTCTCTTTTCTGTCTTTCTACTTCTTAACGCCCCCGCCGCCACCCCCCCCCCCCTCCCCGCCAGTTTCTCGCTACTGATTGGCACCTGGGGACTCTCCAGGTTAGGAAGCACTCAATCAGCTGCCTGCATAATTAGCAGATCATTCTTAATTATCCCTGTAAATTATCCCTGTGAGCGGAGAAGATAAAGGTGAAGGCAAGAGCCCAGGTTCAGGGTCTGCTGCGCCTGGGGATAGGGCAGGCAGGGCAGGAGAGGCAGCAATTATGGAGGAGTGGGTGCCTCCTTCCCCTCAGCAGCCTGCCTCTGCGGACTGGCGTGCGATCTGATTGTGAAGAGCTGATCTTATTGTGAGTAGCCAGGGCAGCACTGCAGGGGCCAGGGGCCTGCCTGGCTTCATAAACAGGGGGATGGAGAGTCAGTGTTGGAAGAGTCCGCACAGGGAGCCCAAGCACTGCCCTGGCCAATCTGTCCCCCTCCCTCTGTCACACCAGGAGCAGAGTGGTCCCTAGGTGCCTCCTTGATGCCTCCCACCCCAGCCCGGGGAGCGACTTATTGTTGCTCTGCCCTCTGCCCTCCATGGTGGTCTCTTGCAAAGTATTTATTTCCTGGCTGGGACTTTCTTCTCTGTCTGCCCATCGCTGCCTCTTCTGGCTTCCCCTGAGTGTCTGGAGTCTCTCATCCCTCTCTGCATCTTAGTAAGAGCAAATGTTAACCAAGTACTTAGGATATGTCAGCTAATACAGGAACACTGGACTTACATTTGTTCGTTTTAACTTTTACGATAATTCCATAATATAGAAGCTACTCCTCCTACTTTTCAGCCGAAGAAACTGAAGCATAGGCCTATTAAGTGACTTGCCCAAGGTCACTCTGCTACTACGTAGATGTTAACCCATGTCTATGGGACATTGTACAAGGCTTCAGTGATAAGCTTGGAAACCGACCTACTTTGAAGTTTGCCACCAAGCCAGGGGCTGTAGATCAGGAATGGCAAACAATTGCCCTTTTGCCACCATCCCCCACCCTTACGGTGGCCATTGCATAAATAAGTGGAACAACAAATCAATATTTCTCTTCTCTAAAAAAAAAATTAAAAAGGGAGAAGATAGACCAGGAGCTATGTATCCTCACCCGCGGATACGTTTTCCATTGATTTTTAGAGAGTAGAAGTGAGGGAGGGGAGAGAGAGAAACATCGATGTGAGAGAGACACATCGATTGGTTGCCTCTCACATGTGCCACAACCAGGGCCAGGGATTGAATCTGCACCCAGCCCTTGACTGGGAATTGAACCCACACCCTTCAGTGGGCGGGCCGATGCTCTAACCACTGAGAAACACCAGCCAGGGCTGTATTTCCTTTTTAAGCTGCTTAACATTCTTTTAGCTCATTCTGAGTTTATAGTTAACCAAAACCTTAGGCCTTTCTTCATCTGAGCTACTGTTCAGCCTCCACCTTCTGTATTTGTGCGCTTGACTTTAACCTGAATGCTGGGCTTCCCGTTCACACCTTCTCAATTTCATCTTGTTTCTTGCATTTCATCCTTCTGGCCGCAAGATTATGTGAGCCTAGGTTCCACCATGCAGACCATTTTTGACCCTCCCCGTTTGACACCCCCCGTTTGATATCCCCAGTGTTGACTGAGCTGGACCGGGCCCTGCCAGATACCTTGGTGCAGCCAAAATCAGCCCATTCTCTGCAGTGCCCTTCAGAGACTGTTGTTCATCTGGCCTTGTTTTCTCAAGTGTTCTCTCCCCCAACCCCCATAGCTCCATCTTGTCTGCAGGATTTTGTGAGAAGCCATCGAAATCCTTGCTGACTCGAGATGCACTGTGTTTAAGGTTTCCCGATACACGAGTCTAATAACCCTGTCTAAGTAAGAAATGCTGTGAATTTAGAACAGTGCTGGCCCCCCGGACCTGCCTCTTCCTTTTCTAAGTGCTTACAGACACTCTATTTAATAATCCATTCTGGATATTTGCCAGGGTTTGTTGTTAAGCTTGATGTTTACAATTTTAAGGAATTGGCCCTTCTCTCCTTAATGGAAGAAGCAGAACAGAGTAGCCTATCTCCGGGTTTCATGTCCCTCCCTCTCCACATTGACTCCAAGAGGAGTGGTTACATAACCACTAAGGTGCTTCAGCACCCAGGGCCAGAGTGACAGAGGTAGGAACTGGACGAAACAGCTTGATCAAGTATGCCTTCCCAGTGGATGAAGACCTTTCTCCCTGCGGAAAAGAGGGAGCCCATGCTGGAAAGATGGGTGGTTTTACGTTCTCTCGTTGGAAGGAAACTGCCCGTCTGTCTGCATTGCTGCCCCACTCAGACTAGTCTGTCAAGGAAAACTAAGCTGCTTTGGTGCCTGCTTGTATCCCAGCCTCCACCCCACTCCACCTCTGGCACTTGAGGAGCCAGGCATAATCAGGGAGACTTCGTCAGGACAGAGACCCTTGGGTTGTGAAATTGTCTGATGGAGAGGTGGGTTCTTTGGAGGGACAAGACCCTTTTAGAGTGGGTGGGGATGCTTTACGAAGGCTGGGCCAGTCTTGACTGCTCCTTTCAACTTTTAGAGAAATCTCAGAGTCCCTTAACCTTGCAGTCCCCCACCGCAGAGACAGTGAGGCCACTCTGCCACCCACCATATCCTCCCCACTTTTCCCCAGATACTCAACTTGCAACTCTGCCTCATTTCTCCTGCCTCACTTGTGTGCTCACTCCTGCCAGGTGAATGCAGAGATGTGGCCGCTCCGAATGTGGAACGTGGTGGTCATGGCAGGAACTGGTGTTCTGGGAGGTGGGGGAGCCTATGGAGGAAGGATAGACTGGCATACGAGAGCCAGGGTTAACGCTGCAGCGAGAAGACCCTTGCTGTTGCTGAGTAACGTGGGGACAGCGAAAGTGGGGCTCCTGTGCACTTACATTTAGGGCACATGGGTGTCAGTCATCAGGAACCACAGAGGGGCCTGAGAGGTCCAGCACTGCCCTAGGCACTGGGATTACCCAGGAACAAAGCAGAGTCCACAGTCCTTCGGAGCACATGTAGGCAAGTGACACATAACGTCAAGTGACTGTGTGAAAGAGTGGGTGGGAGTTGGGAAGTGACATTGCATCTTCAGATTCTGTGGTCAGAGAGGCTTCGTGAGGGGGCGCAGTGAAGTGAAGAAGCCAGTGTGTGGATATTGGGGGACAGCATTCCACTTGATGCAAACGCCGTGCAACAAGAGTTTGGCATGTTTGGGGAATACACGGGCAGCAGGTGTTGCTGCAGCCAACTGATTGGGGTAGGAAGGAAGGGGAGGAAGCCCATGAGCAGCCAGATCATAGCCTTGAGAACCTTGGTCAGGACTGGGGATGCACTCACAAGAAACATGAACAGGTTGAGGACTTCAATTTAGGTCCAGCCTTGTCACTCAGTCTTGCTGAACTCTGGTTTCCTTGTCTGTAAATAGGTGACTGTGTCCATGTCACTCATGAAGATTCTGTCTCTGCTTGCCCCAGCCTGAGGCTGCAGACTCTGGAAGGCAGGAACAATGTCCCTTCAGGTGACATGTGTAGGCACCAGGGTAATTGCCCAGCCCTACCCAGAGCTCCAAGAAACATAATGCAGTACCTTCTAGACCCTTCAGTTTGGATGATCTTTGGGAGGTCACCTGAGAGTTCCAAGATTGACCCTGATAAGCAGATAACATTTTTTTTTAAGACCCTTTGCTTAAGTCCCTGGGTTTTTGCAGGTTAGAAGCAGGAGGTATGCAGGAGGCTGCAGGGGTTTGAGGAGCAGCCCCTGGACCTGTCATTTTTTTCCGTGACAGGATCTCCCAGCGAGTAGAGCTGAGCCGGAGCCAGCTGCAGGCCATTGGGGAGAGGGTCTCCTTGGCCCAGGCCAAGATTGAGAAGATCAAAGGCAGCAAGAAGGCCATCAAGGTAGCCCATATGTCCCTGTGGCTGACGGCCCATCACAGATATCCCATTCTCTACCATATCCCTGTGCCTCTGAGGTTGCCCACATCCCTACTATTACTGTCCAACCACAACTCAAGCTTTCCTTCTCCTCAGAATCCCCTCATCCCAAACCTAGGCTCTCTGGAAGTTCTCGGGGCCCCTGAAAAAGTGATGTCAGACTCTCCATGTCCACAGGTGTTCTCCAGTGCCAAGTACCCCGCTCCAGAGCACCTGCAGGAGTACAGCTCCATCTTTACGGGTGCCCAGGATTTTGGCCTGCAGAGACGCCCCCGCCACCGGATCCAGAGCAAGCACCGCCCCCTGGATGAGCGGGCCCTGCAGGTCTGATGGGCACACCCAGCTCACACACTTGCAGGGCGTGACCAGTGGCAAGTGGCAGTACTGGATGTGGGGGAGGAACTAAGGGCCCACCAGAGGGTTCGTCCCCCAAGAGGATTCTGACGGGATGGGGTGGAGGTCACTGGTCTGGCCCTGTAACCACCATCCCCCTGTCACATTTCTGCCCCACCCCCAGGAGAAGCTGAAATACTTCCCTGTGTGTGTGAACACCAAGTTGGAACCTGAGGATGAGGCTGAGGAGGGGCTCGGGGGTCTTCCTAGCAACATCAACTCCGTCAGCTCCTTGCTGCTCTTCAACACCACTGAGAACCTGTATGGCCAGAAGGGGGGCTACAAAGGGGTGGTGGGAGTCCTGGCTGGCTTAGTGGGGGGCCCCAGGGACATCAGACTCAGATGTAGCAAAAGTCTGCAGCCTGCAAGGCCAGGACCAGTTTGCTTTGCCTTGTAAGGCCTGGGAATCCACCGTACAAACTAACTGTGGTCCCTGATGAAGTAGGAAAGGTAGGTCAGGGCCATGGGCCTAGAACAGATGATAGATCGCCTGACTCACCTCACCTCTCCAGGTACAAAAAGTATGTCTTCCTGGACCCCCTGGCTGGTGCTGTAACAAAGACCCATGTGATGCTGGGGGCAGAGACAGAGGAGAAGCTATTCGATGCCCCTCTGTCCATCAGCAAGAGAGAGCAGCTGGAGCAACAGGTAGAGATGACTGTGCTTGGGTGGGTGGGGGGTATAGGTGGTTGAGGATGTGGGGCCCTGCTAGGGTTTTCTAGGCAAGGGGTCTATGGAGCCCCTTATCCCACCTGAGCCCCACTGACTGTTCCAAGGTCAAACTGCAGGGCCCATGACCCCTGCAGCACCCCAACTCATGTACCCCCACTTAATTCTGCAGGTTCCAGAGAACTACTTCTATGTACCTGACCTGGGCCAAGTACCTGAGATCGACGTGCCGTCCTACCTGCCCGACCTGCCAGGCATCGCTGATGACCTCATGTACAGCGCTGATCTGGGCCCTGGCATTGCCCCCTCTGCCCCTGGCACCATTCCAGAGCTGCCCGCCTTCCACACAGAGGTGGCTGGGCCTTTCAAGCCAGGTGAGTGAGAACCACGAATGGGAATTGGGCCTCTTTCTTCCCCAGCCACCTCACATTTCTTACTTGTTTCAGACCTAGAAGATGGGGTCCTAACAGCACCTCCGCCGCCACCACCCCCACCCCCACCTCCCCCAGCTCCAGCGGTGCTGGCCAGCGCTCCCCCGCCCCCACCCCCACCGCAGACTGTGCCCACTCCAGGTCAAGGTGCCAAGGATGACAGCAGCATGTCTCCTTCAGGTAGGAGCAGCAGCGGGCATGTGTCACATTTAGATCCTCAGCACATGAGTAATTCCCAGGGTCCACCTCTGCAGGGCGGCACCTAAGCTGGGTGGGGATTGGAGAGGGACCGGTGCCTGGACCCAGGACCTCCTGAGCTCAGGCTTCACCGAAGTCCCGGCTTCACCAGCTGGGTTCCTCTTCAGGAACAGCCCCTCCTCACAGCCAGCTGCTGAGGGCTTCTCTGGACCCTAGAATTGTGGGCCGGGCAGGGCTGTCCCACAGCCTAGCCCTGCCTGAGCAGCCTTCCTTCCCCACCCCCAGCTCCAGTCCAGGGGGCTCCCAAGGAAGTAGTGGACCCCTCCAGTGGCCGGGCCACCCTGCTGGAGTCTATCCGCCAGGCTGGGGGCATCGGCAAGGCCAAGCTCCGCAGTGTCAAGGAGCGCAAGCTGGAAAAGAAGAAACAGAAGGAGCAGGAGCAAGGTGAGGGGACCCTACACCCCTCCAGGAGGGCTCTAAGAAAAGGGCCGCCTCTTTAACCACCACCAGACTCCAATAGGGTGCTCCTTGCCACCCAAGTGTCCAAACTCCTGCCCCCTATTCCCCAGGGTGTTTGATGTAAACCCTGCGTGGCCACCCTAACGTCCTTGCCTCTGGGGGAGGGTTCCTGCTGGGATTTGGAGCCTGCTTTCCTCTCTAAGCTGGTAGGGGCCAAACAAGAGAAAATCTACCCTGCCAGCTGTCTGAGGAAACGGTCAGGACCCGAGATACTTGAGAGACAGAGGACCTGGACTGATGGCTCAGTCCTGCTTTTCCAAGCCCCTTGGGGCCACAGATTACTTCTGTGATGCTTGCATCAATGTAACACCTGGCATAAAGCAAACGTGTCCTGGATGTCAACAGTCCTGAGCTTGAGTCCTCGCTTTGCTTCTGAGCTTTGCACTGTGACCCAGGCAAACTGCCTAGTGTCTCTGAGCTGGTTTCCTCATCCATACTGTGGGCTGCTAACTCATGCCCTGTCTCAGGGTGGCTATGACAGTGTACTCAAATGTTACCCACGTTCTCATCAGTGCCCTGGTGCTGGATCCAAGAGCTGGTGGTAACATGATGGCTGTGGGGGCTGGGGTGTGTCAGTCGTGAAGAAAAAGAGGACAAATATGACTAAACCCTGAGGTTGTCACCCAGGAACAGGTTTCACACTGGTCCCTTCCTCCTCCCTCACCCATGGTTTTCCTGTTGTAGTGAGAGCCACAGGCCAAGGCGGCGACCTGATGTCGGATCTCTTTAACAAGCTGGTCATGAGGCGCAAAGGTAGGACAGAGCACTACTGCTTCCCAAGGCCAGGGACTGGGGTGTGTCATACACACTCTGCCTTTTTCTTCCTGTTTCTAAGACTTTTAGGGGCTGGGTGAACTGGCTCCCCAAACAACCCCCCTCACCCTCCACCTTTTCCCTCCCAGGCATCTCTGGGAAAGGACCTGGGGCCGAGGCCAGCGAGGGACCAGGAGGAGCCTTCGCCCGAATGTCAGACTCCATCCCGCCTCTGCCTCCACCGCAGCAGCCACCTGGAGAGGAGGACGAGGAGGACTGGGAATCCTAGGGGCTCAACAGCTCCTCCTTCTCACCAAACCCAGGCTGAGGCTCTTGCCCTCACATGGAAACAGCTGGGATGGGCTCCTTGGCCTGCAGATCTCTCAGCACCTGCTGCCCTTGGAGGGATGGGGGTCACAGAGGACTACCCAGGTCTGTGCCTGGACCATCTTCAAGGAGCAGGGAGGCTGGCTTCTGAGGGTGGTGGGAGGGGGCCTTCGCTTTCTGCTTGTGCTCCACCCACCTCCTTCACTAGCATGCTCCTCTATTCCCTGAGACTGAGGTACAGCAGTACACGAATCAATAAAGAAATATAACTGAGCATCAACCAACAGTGCACTTTTAATTAAGGAACTACAGCTGTGCAGAAATGCAAACATCTCCAAGCCAAGGCCTGTCCTGCTCCCCCTGGTCCCAGGCAATGGGGCAAGGTGCTGAGTGGACCAAGCCCCCTTTCTCTGGGACCAGGGAAGAGAGGTGTAGTCAACAGGGCAGCTGTTGCAGATGGAGGGAGGGATATTTTCACACAGAAAAAGTGTCTCAGTGACAGACAGCGTATCTAAAAATAGTCCTGCTGAGAGCCTAATGGCCCTTGGTGTAATTGCTGATGCCAGGGGAAGAGGTATCTTGGAGTTTGCTCAAGTGGCTGAGAGGGAGAGAGGCCCCACCGACTGGAGGGACCTGGAACCAGCCCAGGAGGTAGCATGCTGTGGAGGGCTGTGGGACAGGTTAGGGGCCAGCAGGCGGGGAGCACCGCACAGGGCTCTGCTCCCACTTCCAAATGACTTCAGTGCCTGACTTGTCAGAGATGGTGCTTAATCCCCAGGTGGCAGTGGGTCAAAGTAACCAGAAGCCAGAGGGCAGAAGAGCCCATGACACCAGGGGCTGGAAATGGGGAATATTCTTAATTTGGAGGGAAAAGTAAAGGTCTAGAACACTAATTTTAGCTAAAAGGGGAGAGAAAAGGGAGAGGCAGGAGAGGCCTGCTCCATCTTGCCTCTGAGAAAGTGGGTGCTGAGAAATGAGCGCGGGCAGATGCTGAAGTGGAAGGTGCAGCTTCCACAGCTGCCCAAGTGGCTGGGGGTGGGGGGTAGGGGCGGCTCAACTGGGTGTGGTGAACAGGAAGAAAGACCCAATTTCAGGGAGGGGAACTGCCCTGGGACGGGCTCAAGGATGGCCAGGAGCCACTGCTTGTTCAGGATCGACCTAATTTTCGCCTACTGGCTTCTGCACCTGTTCCTGGATCCTGCAACCAGGGATTCCACAGGGGCTGGTCTGCATTCCAGATGGGTGCGGCCATCCCTCAGGAAAGGCCAGACTTCTCGTGATGAAACTGGGGAGACAGGGAAAGACAGTGAGACACTAGGTGGGGATCTTGGTGGAAGTGTTCTCAGGAAGGAAAAGGCAGGACTGACCTTCCTCAAAGCAGCAAAGGCAGGGCCAAAGGTAGCTTTGACCTCCACACGGTCTCGGATCCAGGCTGGCAGCTTTGCCAGGATAGGTGGACGGGCATACCGCTGGTCCAGGAGCACTATGCTGGCAAAATCCTTCTGGTGCCTGATGGCCCTCCCTGGATGGGACAGGTTGGGGCTCTGATTAAACCCAACAGTACTTTCTACTGTGTCCCTTTCCCCTCCTCAGACCTCAGACTAGAGAGATGGTAAGTAAAATCCCATCCTGTCACCTCATTCCTCATCCATCCCTCCCCAACTATTCATCCAGGGCCAGTCCCCGACTTACCTATAGATTGGTTGACAGCCTTCATACATAGATTCTCCACCAAAGCCTTTCCTGGGGGGGCCTGACCTGGGGTTCGGGGCTGGGAAGCGCAAAGGAGATGACCTATCAGAACTGTTTCTTGTCCCCTGCCTAGTGTTCTGAGAAAACGACACTGCCAGGCTCTGAGCAAGACCAGTCGGCTTCACGGGCACAATGCCAACAGCTGATAGAATGGATGATGTCCCGAGAAGCTCAAGAGGGTATGGAGGATGCTGCCATTCCCTCCAGAGCACACAGCAGGGGCAGTGGGGAAGTGACAGCCTATCTTAGCCCTAGAGGCTACAGCGCTCTCCCCCCTCCCACGCCCATCCTCCAGAACCTGAAGGTACTCACAAGGGTGTGGTCCAGGTAGGCCATTTTCTCTTGGAGCTCTGGAGACTTGATGTTGGGGTAGGGCAGGCCCACCATAACCACACACCTGGGTGGAGGCACACAGGAGCCAAAGGCACCTGGGGTTCACAAGGCCCAGGACGAAGGGCCGGGTCCTCACCCACATGACAGCTGCTGCGCCTACCACTCCAGTTCTCAACTGTGCTCAGTGGCTCTCCCTCTCCCTCCCTACCCTATACCACCTGGAAAGGGGTTTTTCAGCTAAGAGAGCCAATCTAGGCCAGGGAATTGAGTTCTGATAAAGTTACCATCTGCCTAATTTTCCTCCTGGCCTCAAGGGGCCACACCCAAAGCTGCGGAATCACTTCCCCATGCAGCTGACTGTGCAGTCAGCCCAGGTGCAGACTCGGGTGGCAGCAGATTGCAGGGGGAGGGAGGGCTGCTTGGAGTGAGGGGTAGGTGGGGATCAGAGTCCCGGGAGATGGGAAGCCCACTACTTACCGCCCGAGGTCATCAGAGAAGTTGATGCCTTCACTCATCTTTCCTCCAACCACCGAAAGCAACAGGGCCCCATTCACCATGCCTCCTGCCTGGCCATGGCACTGCAGGAACAGCGCAAAGCTGGGATGCCATCCAGAGGGTTTCAGCTGCCAACCCCACAGGTCTGGACCCAAGGCCTGGGTTCCAGCTCTCACCTGAATGCACCTGGAATACTCTGTCAGCACCTGTTCCACCTGGTTTGCTCGCTTGGGTTCCTGAAATATCTGAAAGTAAACAGACATCTCCCAGAACAGGGTTTCAGGATGCCTGGCTCAGATCTGCTCCAGACCTTGTTTTCCATCCTGGGCTTTGGGGACTCCTCTGGGAAGTGACCAGGGATTAGAAGTGGTGGGAGACGCCCCCATATGGGAGGCCCGACCACCCAGTTTGATGTGCAGGAGAAATCCCACGGGAATTCTGGGTCACCATCCCCAGAGTGGAAGGTCCAGCTGAGGGGTCACTCACCTTTTTCCTGACAGCCAGGCGGGCCAGCAGGCCACTCTTATCCCAGTGGGCATGGACCTGGCGTTGGTACTCATAGGAGGGGAAGAAACAGATCACCCCTCCAGGCACCACGTTGCACAGGTTACAGAGGATGCGACCTGTCTCGTCCATCTAAGAAAGGAAGACAAGAGCCCCTCCATGGGGCCACTCCTGAAGCCACCTCCAAAACAATCTCCTAACCTTAGGGCTCAGAACCAAGTACAGAGACTCACGGGTGAGTGCGGTCAGGGAGGCCTATGGCCAGGTGGCGCCCCTTGGCTGGGAATCACAGATTGGAATGTGCCACCCTCCCTCCAAACACACTCCACTGCTGCTCCTGGTGCCTGGCAGCATCTGACACACCGCAGTCCAGCACACTGAGCTGCACCTGTTACTGGTGTGCCAAGTCCTCCTCCCCAACTCCCAACGTCCTGTGGGCAACTGGAGATTAGGCACCATCTTTGACAAATCGGGCACTGGAAACCCAGGCATGCCACTAGAGAAGTGCCCCTAGTACTGGCATCCCTGCTAGGCAGGGCTCAATATGACCCAATGGCAAAAGGAAATGGTTTCTCATGAACTTCATCCTAAAGAGATGGCTGGAGGTGTCAAGAAAACTATTTTTAAAAATTCTCACCCAAGGACATACCTTTCATTGATTCTTTAGAGAGAAACATTGATTGGTTGCCTCCCATACATGCCCCCACCAGGGATTAAACTTGCAACCTGGGTTTGTGCCCTGACCGGGATTCGAACCCAGGACCCTTTGGCACACAGGTCGATGCTCCAACCAACTGAGCCACAGTGGCCAGGACAAGAAAAGTTATTTAGCAGCCTCAGAGGTGAAGGGTGCGGGGAAACTCAGACCTTCCTGATAAACACCTAGACGATTCATCCTGTACCAGCTGTGATGAGGACCAGGACTAACTTCCACAATGCTTCAACACTCGGGATTGGCCAGCACGTCCCCACCCCAGAAATCTCTCTCCTGCCCTAGCAAAGGCCAAGGTGAGGCAGGATGGCTGGTACTAACCATCTGAGGCAGCTCTCTTTTCAGGTATGTGAATTCCAGCTGCTGGTTGGAGGGCCCACTGCAGAGGACGAGGGGCAGGATGTGGTCTGGAGGGATCACGTGACCTGGGGAGACCCAGAGAGAGGCTGAGAACTGGAAGTGCAAGGCTGAGTCCAAAAAAAGCACTACTCAACCCTTGCCTTCCAGACCAGGAGTAGCGGTTCCTATCACTTACCCACCCACCAGTTTCCACACTAAAACAGCAATGCTCAGAACTCTCCCAGGTAGACAGAGGGGGCACAGAGCATGAGAGCATGGAGATGGCAAGCTCAGAGAGAGCTGGCAAAGGATGAGATGCCCATCCGTGTTTCCTCAGCCCCGGAGGCCTGATAACAGCACATGGTTCAACTATGACAACATGGGGTCATAAGTGACTATGTGGCCCATTCAACCCTGGACATGGATCCTCACCACAGGAAAACTCCACCAGTCGCTCGGCTTCCACCCCAGCACATGTCAGCAGCTGCTCCCGAAAGTCAGAAACCTGAAGACCACAACGTCAAGGCTCTGTGACCTCCCTGAGGTCCGGGGAGAGGACCTCAGGTCTGAGCAAGCAGGGGCCTTAACAGAGAAGGGAAGAGAGAATCGCTTGGAAAGACAGAAGTCTGGGTGAGGAGGTAGCAAATACATAAGAACAGAGAAGAGGTAAAAAGAAAAGCTGATAAGAAATTAGCAAAAGGATAAAACAATTAAATGGTGTCCAGTGTTGTAGTCTCATTTAACTACTTGTGGGAATAGCAAAGGAAATTTGGCACAGTGGCTCTCAGCCCTGGATATGCAACAAAATCGCCAGTGGGAATTTAAAAATATATATATTCACATGGCCAGGGCCCAGCCCAAACTATTGAATAAGAATCTCTAGCGTGAGGACTATGCTTTTGTATTTTTAAAAGCTCCATCCAAGTTTTTTACCTATCATATTGGCAAAAATCGAAAAGTTTGACCACTCTGGAGAAATAGGCACTCGCATACACTGCAGGTGGGATGCAGCATAGTACCACCGCAGCGGAGGGGAACGTGACAATACTGAACAAATCAGATATATTTTGATTTTCTAACCTAGCAATCCCATATCTAGGAGTTTCCTCTGAAGATACAGCTCAACAAACCAATGAACATATGCACAGGATATTTCCTGTGAAGTTATTTGTGAGGGCTAGACTGCCTTTCCAGAGGGACTGGTCGATTGCGCTATGCTGCATCCACCCAACAGAAACCTGCACAGCCAACGAAAGGAACGCAGACCGTGCCTGTGTGCTGATACGGAGTGATCGCCAGAGCATACTGGTGAACAGAAACTGAGTATGCCACCTTTGATGTAAGAAAAAAAGGAAAGGAAAAAAGAATAAGTATATACATTGCTTATTTTGGCAAAAAAAGAAAAAAAAATTAACATGAAACAGAAGGATAGACCAGCTAATGAAACATGTTCACCTACAGGATGGGGAACAGGTTGGGAAGGGATGAAGTGAGACTTTCTGATCTTTGTATAGTTTCAATTTTTGAACCATACAGAGGTTTTACATATTTTGAAAATAGAATTAAGTCAACAAAAAGGCAAACCTCAAACTGAAACAAAGAAAGCCTAGCTACTTATCAAATTCACAACATACGCTCACAGAAGAGCCTGATAGCAACGGCTTCACGTCCTCAGTGACCACATATTCTGGCAGGATATACTCAAAGGGCAAAAAACAAATGCAAAGAAATAAAACTAACCAATAGGTTATTGTTAGAATATTGGTATTATATTTTTGGCACTATTTTAAGTATATTGTGGGAAAAAACAAGTAATTATGTTAATACTAGAGGCCCAGTGCAAGAAATTTGTGCAAGGGGCTTAGCCTTTGCAGCCGTGGCGGCTTGCCTCAGCCCTCGCTGTGGAGGCTTGTCTCGGCCCTCGCAGCCCTGGCTTCATCCGGAAGGTCATCTGGAAGGATGTCCGGAAGGTCATTTGGCTGTCCGGTCTAATTAGCATATTATGCTTTTATTATTATCTATACTAATAAAAGGGTACTATGCTAATTAGGGTGGAGGTCTTGTGGATGCCCATCCAGACATACATCCAGACAAAGCCATAGTGGCTGTGAGTCCCGGGGCTCACAGCAGTCATGGGCTCAGGTAGCTGTGAGGCCTGGGGGCTCAGGCAGCCATGAGCCCTGGTGGCTGTGGCAGCAGCAGCGGGATGATGGGGGCGGCACCTTCCCCTGATCAGCCTGGTTGCCTCCCGCAGACAGAGGCCAGAATGCTGTCAGTAGGACATCCCCTGAGGGCTTCTGGACTGTGAGAGGGGGCAGGCGGGCTGAGGGATCCCCCCCTGCCCAGTGCACGAATTTTCGTGCACCAGGCCTCTAGTAGATATATAAAAAGCCAGCGACTGGAACACCATTAACAACTGGAATGACCAGTCACTATGACGCCCACCAGTCACTATGACGCCCACTGTGGCCAGTGAACCGGCCAGGACCGTGACCAACCTCCCATGGCCCCTCCCCCTGGCCAGCCCCACCCCCAATCAGCCCCCACCACCCTGATCGGCCTGCGGCCCCTTTCCCCAGCCAATCACCCCCCACATACCAATAGGGAGTAGGGGTGGTCAGCCAACCTCCCATGGCCCCTCCCCTGGCTGCTGACCCCCAATCGGCTCCTCCACCCCATTTGGGGGCGGGGCCTGCTGGCCAATCGCCTGCGGCCTCTCCCCCCAGCCAGACTGACCCTGATTGGGGTGGGCCAGCCAGACCCCACCTGTGCACAAATTCGTGCACTGGGCCTCTAGTATAGGATAAAAAAACAGAAGTTTAGCTTGAGAAATGAGATACAGCATAAGGTCAAATAAATTGATTTTTGAATCAGAAATATCAATAAGGTCTCATGATGTCTGAAAACATATTTCCCAGGTCAGTACTGAAAAGACCCACAAATGGTAATCATCCACTGTACGCACACAGCACCCAGATCTTGGTTTCTAAGTACCCATCCCCAGTAAAAGAAACTAGGGCACCTTGGAGACATGAATGGTTCCAGATCTGGGGCAAAAAAAGCACCAGGTGGTCTGGGGTGTTTTTTGTGCCAGGCAGCAGGAAAGCATCCAAGACTAAGGAGGCCTCATCACAAGGACCAGCAGCAGCAGGGAGGTTCCCACAGGCCACAATGGATTTGAGCACTGAGCCATAATGACTACCAATTATTTTAATACACGAATGAAAAAACTATACGGGTCTAGACACATGAAAGAATGGAAAAACAATAAAGCTACAGGGGCGATCGAACAGGCAGCCGAGGCTGGGAACAGACTGCTTGAGGATGCCAAGTAGCTCTTCATGCAGGAAGTACTGTTCCAGGACAGCGGTCGCCAACCTTTCGGACCTCACGGACCACCAGTGGTCTGCAGACCACCGGTTGGTGACCGCTGTTCTAGGACATCTCCTCAGGAAATAACCACTGTGCAGGGACTGGTTACATTTACCACTCAATTGTTTAAACTCTGTTGTTTTCTAGAGAAAAACTAGAAATCACCTAAATACCTAACAAAAGTGGTTATATATAGTAAAATATAATACATTCATGTTACAGCGAAAGTATGGCAAAATAAGTGCTTACTTACTGACAAGAAAAATGTGTATGACATTTTGTTTCTGAGTAAGAAAAAGCAAATTACAACAGCATTTACAGATAATGCCATATTTTTGTTTTAAAAATACGTATGTATATTTGTAAAAATTATGCATACAACTATGATATGCACCAAATGAATCTTTTGCTAGTGAAATTATGACCCTTCTTCCTGTTTTTGTTTATCTGTGATTTCTACAATGAAAATATAATACTTTCCTAAAAATACATTTAAATTTGTAAAAGAGAGAAAGTTATATCTATAGTGGGTACAGGAAGGGAGTGGCAGTAAGGCACTAAGTGTGAGGAAGAAACTCCAGCAGGACTTTCTTTGGAGAAGTGTGACCCCATCGCTGCAGACACACAGGAGCAGTGGCAATGCCCGGTCCCCAAGCCTACAAGGCCCAGCAGTGAGACAGTACAACAGTGCCACCTGGTGGACATTGTTTGGCCTGTTCAAGTCAAGCCCTTTCTGGTTTGGGAACCCAAGGGATGAGATGAAGAGGCCTAACTGTGCACCATTCCTGTCACCGTCCCATCCACACCCGGGCACAAGAGTCTGGATCCGGTGTCCTTACCGGCTGCATGGTGCCCCCCGCAATGACCACTGCCCGGCATTCCTTCACCACCTGGGCAAAAGGCACCGCTGGATTCAGCAGCAAGAATTTCAAGCTGCTCTGGCTGAGGCTGCCTGATAAAAAGACAAAGAAAAGAGCTACATGGGAAGGGGGCAGGTACAGGCCCAAGAAACACTTCTACACTTGATCTTAGCCAAAAGGCCGAGAAGCGATTCCAAGAAACACTTCTATCCTCCGAGGCAAAGGGGTCCATGTAGGAGGCATGAGAGATAATCACTTTCTCTTTAAATCAAATCCTACTTAATCTGCAGGACAACTATGAGGTAGAGTACTATTAGCTCCCTTTTTGCATGAGGAAAATGAGGCTCAGAGACAAAGAAACTGGTCCAAGACACACAGCTTGTAGGGGATGGAACCAAGGCTCAAGCTAAAGCCCATGTTGCCTTAACCACTAGGCTACACGGCTCCTCACATCCTTGCCTGAGACAACCAACCATCCTACACACCTGCATCCCTCCTCACTACCCCCACTGCCTGCCCAGGTCACAGGAGGCTGGCATCACCACGTTTCTTTGTCCTGACCCCGGGAGGTGCTGGGACGGAAGTAAAGGCCCCGCTCATGCTCTGGCCTCCAGCTCCAGGCTGGCTCCCCCTCGGATTACCTTGGCGGCTCAGCATGACCCTGCCGTCCTGGTTGGCAGTGGTGAGAGCTTCAAGGAAGCCTTCGATGTGCATCAGTGGGGAAGCAGGTCGAGGCACCCTGGCCTCCCCCTCTTCCATAGGGGCTGTGGGAGCTGCACAGAGTAGAAGGGAGAGAGTCTGGGACCACAGGCGAGAGCAGAGAGCCTCCTTGCAGTTGGACTAACGGGGTTCTCTGGGGAGAGTCCACATGTGAGGAACATTCCTGCCCAGGGTCTGCAGCCCAGCCCCCACCACCTGACTCACCCTCAATCACCCCGGGCTGCAGGCTCTGTAGGAAGTGCTGGAACCCTGTCAGTCTGGGCTGCTCCCTGGGGGGTGCGAGGACTGCCCCATACCTTTCTGTGAAACCAAAGAGCTAAGCAGGAATAAGAGCAACAGAGACAAATGAGGGCAACAGAGAGGGAGGCCAGGGTGGACAAGAGGCTTCCATCTCTCATCTGCATCTCAACCAGGGCCCACCCTCCCGCCACCCCAACACCAGGCATCTTGGCAGCCCTTCCCCAACCCGGCAAGGATGCTCCCCAGTGAGGACAATAGAGATGAGGGTGCCTGAGTTCCCACAGGGCAGGAGAGAGAGGCTCTGTGAGGGCAGCAAGCAGGGGTGCAGCTGGACCCCACCCAGGCCCCAAGGAAGGGCGCCATACCTTTCTGCTGACCATGCTCTTTTCACAGTAGCGCCGCACCTGCAAAACCAAACCCGCTGTAGGTACATGGAAAACAAAAACAGATAACCACTCTCCAAAACCCCGGGAGCATCAGTCACCACCACCTCCCGAGGAGCCCAAAGCCTCCTGAGGCCACCCATGTCACCCTCCTTTCTGAGGTCACTCCGCCCCCACTGTCCCCACACCACACAGTGCTCTCCCACGAGAGGGCCTCTGCCAGGCCTCAGGCACAGCCTTCTCAAGTCTGCATGGCTCCACCCCTCCTAAAGGTCCTGGGTGATGGCTGTGTCCCTCTGCTTTCCTTCACCATGACGGCACCTAAGCTAGACCTTGGAGGATTAAGAGTTAGTCTTAAAAAAAAACAACCCTATGAGCAAAGGCATAAAGGAGGTAAAGCCTGGGACTTGTTCAAGGGACACCTGGAGTGCAGTTAGGCTGGCGTGTAGGCTGGAATGCAAGACGATGACTTTGGAGCCTTTGAAGAATTCTCATAAGAATGGTATCTTTCAGTTAAGATTCACTAGACTATAGTTTGTAAAAGTTATTAGAAAGGAGACAGAATGAAATCAAGAAGACCAAAAAGAAGGCAAAGGAAAAGACTGCACTGAAGTAGCAGCTGTGGAAATGAAAAGGTGGGGTAAATTCAACAGCCATTCCAGGCTGTGGGGCCTGGCCACACTTTGGATGTGAGACGCAATGGGAGAAAGGACTCAAAGATGACAGGACTGCCAGCCTGTCTGAGGGGGTGATGGCAGTAACCATGACCAAACCAGTCAGGGCAGCTGGTTTGAAAAGGAAAGGCCCGATGGAAAGAAAGCAGGGTCTTGAGTCTGTGCGGCTGGGCTGGCACACTGGCTCGGCATGCACCATTTTCGTGTGGCCTGTGCGTGGCGTCCTCCTATGGTGACCTCGTTGAGCCTCGGCTTTTTCTCTGCTCTAGAATGGAGATGGCACACCCTACTCTACAGTCACAGAACCTGGTGCACTGCCTCAAACACAGTAATTGCTCCGTTACTGTTAGTAAAATAGAATCATAAGGTTGTGAGTCTAGTAGCAGTGGCTGTACCCTGCCCCTCCCCTCCTGGCCTCCGGGGAGAGCACCGATATGTAGGCCTGGAGCAAGCAAAGATGTGAGGCTGCAATAAACTATGGCTGGAGTGGAAAGATGAGAGAAAGGTCAAGCAGAGTGGCCCAGCTGTGAGCTCACTCACCTCAGCCCAACAGCAGGATCACACTCACAAAATTAACTTCCAGCTCTACCCAGCAGCCAGGGGAAAGACCGAGCCCCAAGAAAGAGGGCGTAAAGCGGAGGGCCGGGGCATCTCTAGTTGTGCTTATTAATCTAATCTCCCCCTAATCTCTCTGACCCTTCAACCCTAGGTCCAGGATCCTCTTTTGTTACTGACATTACTTTTCTTTTCTTTTTTTTCAGGGTTAATGGCATGTCTGTGCTGTAGATCCTCAGCCCTCTGGACTGACTGAGGACTGAAGGAATTTCCTTTTTATTCATTCCACAGTGTTAACAGTGTTCTGCCCACAGGTGGGGGTAGGATAAGATTTGATGAGCTAACATGAACCAGTAAAACCTCTACCTTGAACAGGTTGATGTTGTCGATCTGGCTCTGAAAGAGAAAGTCATTGATGGTCTTCAGCTCTGTCCCTAAGGGTAAACAAACAAGCCTTGGGGTCCTGCTCTGAAGACCATGGTGTTGGGGTCCCAGAGGGAAGCTCAGAACTGGCTCAGACCAGCCCTGGGCCCATGAGGGCCATCTTCTTACCTGTCTGTGAGAGGCTCTGTGTATTGGGATTTTGCTTAATGTTCCCTAAAAGAGAATTCAAACAGACAGGTCAAGATGGTGGTCCTCTGGCCCCATCCTCTCACACTCCACAGTATACTAGTCAAATAAGAACATTTGTCTGTGAACCGGCTTTTTGATAGTTTTAATACCCATAGACCCCCCCACTGAGAACAGATGTTCCAGGAAGCCTCAAAGTCTGACCCACATGTGATATGGAGCCCAAAGCCTGGTGGTTTCATTCTTTTCACACCTCCTCTAAGGAGGCAGGGACAGAGTAGCCACCCCAGTTTAGGCAGGTGCCAACAGGACACGCCCAGCTGCTTGGTGACAGAGGCAAGGCAGAGATGGAAGCCAAGAACACCAACATGAGACAAAATCCCCTCAGAACCACCACGCTGGCGTCCTGGACTTCTGCTTCCGTGAAAGCCTTCAAAAGGGTCCCTGGGAAAGGACAGGGCTGCTGCACAGAATGCTGGAAAGGTGCACGGGACCTGGAGCCAGTGGGTTCTAGTTCCTCTCACTGGGCTCAGCAACCAGAGGCTCTAGCTTCATTCACTCGTGTCACTGAGGGTCAACACACCCATGCTGCCGTCCTCACAGGAGCACTCTATCATGTAAAACGGCATTCACTTGTACTGTAGTGCTATTACTACCTCAGAACGGTGAAATAAATCAGGGTCCTAAAAAAGATCTAAGTTAGATGTCCTGACAGCGTCCAGGGAGCCGAGTCTGGCGAGCGGAGCAGGATGGAGTTAGGGGTCGCGCGGCTCCTTACCACCCAGCACAGTCACAAACTTCTCCAACAGGTACAGGATCTGTTTAATGTACATCAGGTTCTTGGCCTTCAAACGCTTCCTGAGGACAAATCAACAGACAGCAAGTGGGTTACTCCAACAGCACCTTCCCTTCTAAGTGCCCCAAGCTGAGGCCCTTCTGGCTGGTGTCTTTCAAACTGGGTCACAAGCTACAAATACTCCCCTAGAAAAATAGGCCGGCTGTGGCCCAAGGCCTTCAAAGCCAGGCGCTGTGTCCTGAGCACCCCTGGCCTATGTGGGTGCACACACACAGGAGACAGCAGCACGCTAGGCCACCCCGCAGAGATGCCAACCTAAGTGCCTCCTCTGAGGCTGAGCAGGATTTTCCCTTCCCCTCTGGAGGTGGTGTCTCACCTGTATCGTTCCATGTACTGGAGCAACTGGGAATGTGCCTGGCAGAGCTAAGGAGAGAAGAAATGGGCATGAAGGCAGACTAGGGTCTGGGCAAGTGGCATAGGGCTATGACAACTGTCTAGATTGTGGTTAGAAAATGCCAGCCCAGGACACACAGGAGGCAATCAAGGTGAGGAGAGTGGGGCTGGTTACAGACTAAAGGTGTGGGTTTTAAAGGCCCATGGGCTGGTGGGACCTGAGAGAGGGGAAGGAAGGCAGGTTCTGCTGCAGTGGCCACTTTGTGCCAGGGGAAAAGCAAGAGGCTGAATCTCCGTAATGAAGCTCCCTGCTAGTTTTTACTGGGCTGGGAAAAGATGTGTTGCCTACTAAGAGTGATAGTTCAAGGTAACCATCATGTCCTGGCCTAAGATCAACCCATGCATTAGTCAGTAGAGGTGGTGGAATGTCGTGTGGGTTTCAGGGTCAGAAACCAGTGGTCAAATCTCAGTTTCCCACTTACTAGCTATGTGACCTTAGGTACTGCTTAAACCTCTCTGACTCTCTGAGTTCTCAATGTTAAACAGGAATACCAGCCCAATGTAGAATAGACGTGAACATCAGAGATAACTCTTACAGTGCATGGCACATAATAGGAAATAAATAAATAGTAGCTTTCAGAAATCTTGAGCATTCTTCAGTTAAATCCTCTCAAAGCAATATCAATAATAATGACATCTAACTACACGAGGACCCTACTTCTCTCAAGCCATTACCCTGGATCATGGAGTGGTTAGTAGCATCCTGGGCTGGAGGGACTCAAGACCACACAGGCCAGTGAAGACCAAGGCACCAGTTCCTCTGCCTGAGCTAGACCCCAGTTCTGAGATCTGCTGGAAAGCAGTCACCTCTCATGAGGCTGCCGCCTTGCCGCAGTGCACCACTACCAAGCGCCATTTCTGGAGGAATCCCGGGTCCAGGCAGTTAGAGAAATGTTCCTTTGCCCCATGATAAACCCTGGCTCCGGTAGGGAGAGGCTGACCTACCTGGGATCCACTGACCTCCGTACTGTGGATGCCTGTGATGGTGTCAATCAGGTTGTGCGCCTCATCGATGATCACTACCTGGCCCTGCAGCCGGATCCCCGCGGCCTGCCGGGTGGCCGTGTGCAGCAGCATCTGGTAGGGCAGCACCACCACCTGGGAGGAGATGGGGCCACGTGAGTGGGGCGGGACTCCCTCCTAGAGCAGGGTCACCAGCCTGCTCTAAGTTCCTGGTGTGAACAGTTTCATTTCCTGCCCAGAACAGGTGTAGAGAAAGGACGGCATCGTAATGTGCTTTTAACAACAGACTCTTTCCTCAAAAGTTTTATGTGTAACATCAAATATATGAAACAAAAGTGAAGCTGATCTGACTTCTGACTGAACCAAGAGTGGGGTTATGGGGAGGGGAACCCCAGTTGCTTAGCCTTGTCCATGCCCCCAAGGTAGCCCCTGAGGCACCTAAATTTCCTCAAAAAACGGTGAAAACCACCAGCATAGCAGAAGGCAGCCCAGGGCTCTGGTCCAGGAGCTGTCACTTCCTATCTGTGTGATTCTGGGGCCCGTGAGCCTCATTTTCCTCATCTGCAAAATGGGCTTGATAAACTGTCAAAACAGGGTTAAGAAGTGGGGTTGGGGTGACAAAAATAAAAACATTCTGTGCATTTTTTAGTGGCTTTGGTGTTATGACGATTTTCCAGTTACAAGAATACTGATAAACTAAGTGAAAATTCAGAAAACTGGAAACTTAAGACCCAAGTTTTAATATGGTTCCATTACTCACCTGCTGTGAGAAAACAGATAAACCACTTAACCTTTCTGGACCCCACTGTCCCCAGGCGTAGAATATGGAAAATACCTGCCTTAGCTAGCTCAATGGGATACCATAAAAGCAAAAATGAGGTGAAAAGTGCCTTAAAAAGTCAAGATCATAAGAATTTCAGGACATTTTACGGCACTGGCACACAGTGTCTACAGCGCTGACCCTCGCTGTGGCAGGCCCTGGGAAGGACATGAAAGTGCTGGGAGCGCGGCTGCATTGCTCCGAGGACCACACACGCAGTCCAGGGAAATAGACTGATGAGCAATTACTGCCACATGAAATTATTACTAACACAGTTAGTTCCCAGCATCTTTTAAAATCAATTTTAACCTTTTCTTGATTATCTGGAATTCTTCACAAATAATATCCTATTTCCAAAAGTCACTCAAATGAAGGAAGTAGCAAGAAATGTCAAATCATTACAACCAAATAACAGTATAATTTTTGACCTGTTAAATTGGTAGCTTTGCTGTTTAAATAATACTCCATATGCCCAGTCCTCTCAAATGGTACAGTAAGTGCACAGTCAGGACAGTCACTCTGAACGGCCATTTGGAAATAGATTTATGTTCTGTAGCTCCCATTCCTCCCGGTGTCTGCCCTGGCATCTCTCACTGTAGTTTCAACTAGGAATGCACACCTTCTCCTGGGCCTGACCCCCCATAATGCCACAGTGCCTGCAGAACAGCCACCAAGGGACCTGGGGCCTCCTGTGACCCTGTGCCCTAGGAGAGTGGGTTACGTGTCATCGGTGTGCAGTATGTCGGTCAGTCTAACCATGGCCAGTGACATCTTCCCAAACTAAGAGGAGTAAGGAATTCCCTCACAGCCTAGGCTGCAGTTAAAGCCAAGAGCCACTGCCCAACCCTCTGCGGTCTTCACCTGGGCAGCTGGAATGGCAAACCGGCTCCCATAATAGGGACAGGCCCCAGCCTCCTTCCCCAGGGCCACCAGCTGCTCGATGTCCTTCACCTCCAGCAGCACCTGGTCCTGGAGGAGCTGCAAGTGCCTATGGCTGTAGAAGGGACAGGCAGCCTGGGGTGCCTGCCTTCTCCTCTTGGGTTCCTGGTCCTCAGCTCTGCTCTTGCTCTCTGCGGGTGGCAGCACAGGGGCAAAGGCAGAAAGAACAGTAACGGTCCTGTGGCCAGGAGCAGGCCAGTAAGGTCATGTCTACAAAACCCTTACGTGAACTATTTATTCTGGTCTCATCATAACACTCTCGTACTTTACTCTGTGTTCAAAACCCGGATTTCGGAATTAACTCTGACCCAGAAAGCAAACACACCTTCTCCCAAGGAGAGGCTCTTTAGGAAGAACCATCATTTCCATTAAGATACTGTCTGTATTGTGCTGGCCCCTGCCCCTCCCGCGCCTCACTCCCAGCTGCCCGAGGCCAAAGGATGGTCCCAGAGGCTGCTCCTTTAGCTCAAGGGTGCAGGTGGCTACCGTGTCTGCTCCTCTGCAGCTCCATACAGCGGTCGTTAATCAGCTGCACAGAACCCAGGTTTTTCACGTCTTGGTTTATACAGAGATTCTATGAGACAGAGGAACAAGAGGTAAAGAAATGGTGCTGCTACATGATATACAGCAGCCCACCAGGGCCTCGCAGACCAGCCCTCCCCCATTTCCTTCCAAGGGTCAGCAAGGCCCGAGGGGGGCGATCCTCCCCTCCTCAGCCTGCCTGCAAGAGGAAGACGAAGGCACAGGGAAGGGAGTAGAGGGCACCAGGGCTGAGGCACCCTGCTCTGTCTACCTGCCGAGAGCCGAGGGAGACGAGCCGGGTGTCCTTGCCAAAGGGGCTCTTCTGTACCTCGTGCACAAACTGGGCCAGCTGGGAGTGGGTCCGACTGCAGTAATAAATCTGCGCCGAGGAAAAGCAGGGGATTTCAAAGACGGTATAACATTTTCAAGTATTCTTTGCACATCAAGGAATGCCATGGGTGATGGGCTGAGGGAATGGGGAAAGGGGTCCCAAATATACAAACCTACAGCAAGGTAACTGTCCCAGAGAAGATCTTACCGAAATACCAGGGTTCCCCACTTCACCCTCAACTCCTAAAGTTCAAGAGAATGCCCACAAGATGGGACTCCTCCCATCAGTCATGCTCAGCCCCTAATCCAACTGTTCTGGAGGGCTTGGCCACCTTAGGAAAAGTATTTCCCTGGGTGGTGACTCTTGACATGGAAAAGGTCCCTAAGATTCTGGGGAGTGGTGAGGGGCTGTTCCACACACACCTCCCAAGGGCATGGAGGGTGGGGCTGGCAGTAAAGCAGGCGGAGGCTGAGCTGAACACTCTTTCTCTGAACTCCGCTAAGATTTAGAAGAGTGAGGAGAGGAAAAAAGAGAAAGGGGGGGGGGTGTCTAGTTTCAACAGAGAAAACAAAGGTATTACATGAATGAAACCAAATGATTTGAATTTGAGAAGTGTTGGCACCACTTATGCCTCATAGCTCTCCATGCAAATGAAAATATGAACAAAAGAGGAGCATGCCATCAGAACATCCAAAGGACAAAGAACTCTCACTCTGACCTGCCCTGGCCTTCCCCAACTCCTAATGCAGAGAGAGACCCAGGGTCCTTGGCCCAGAATGGCTATTCTCCCAAGTCCTGCGGCACATGAGCCCGGGCATCGCTCCCATGCGATGTTTCCCCAGGTGCCCAGACCAGCTTGCCAGGTGAGCACCTAGAGACCAGGTTTGGGTCTGGGGAGATGGAGTCAGTGGGCTGGAGGCTCCTCACCTACAGGAGGGACCCTCGCATTTTCCCTGGACTCCAGGCCAATCACAGCACAAAGCTTAGGACATGGCATCTTACCTTAGTTACATGTTCTTCCTCCAGGTCATCCTCATCCTCATCTAATCTGAGAGAAAAACAAAACACAGAAAAACATTCTTCTCAGCAAACGCAGGCCAACTAGAAACACACTTACTGAGCATCTTACCACGTGCCAGCGATCAGCCCTAGACCTAAACAACTAAGAACCAAACTGAAGATTGAGCTCTGAGCTAGGAGACGGACACATCCCAGCAGTGAAGTTCCACCAAAGCAGCAGGTGGTCGCTTGTGCTCTCGGTCAGGGAGACGCCCCAGGCTAACACCAAGGCCATCCTCCCACTGCCACTCAGGAGAGGACAGAGAGAGAAAGGACATGGTATTCCCAAAACCCTAGGGTCAATGTTTGACTGTCATCCAAGGCTACTCTCCGCTCACTGTCTAACCTCCAGCAAATGGGACTTCTCTCAATTCACCAAGAGAACTTGATTCTACCACTCTATCAGAGCTTGGGCATGCTGTGCTCTGTGCCAGGAATGCTCTCTCCCTCACTTCTTCCCTTTACCTAGCCAACTGCTAGTCAACTTCAAGACCTCCTCATAAACATTACCTGCTCTGGGCAGCGTTCCTCAATCTCCCCTGGCAGGGTTGCCTGCCCTGTAACACACTGCCATGGTCCCTGTGATACTCATCTCTTTCAAAAACCATTTCTTCTTCTGTCTCCTCAACCACCCTATCCTGTCCACAGGTGGATCTGGGTGTGTCTTGTTTCTACGAAGCACCCCCACAGCCTGCAAACAGCAGCAACTCCATGCACATTTCCTAAGTGAAGCCCCAAATGACAGGGTGAGGGGATAAAAGATGCTGTCACTCATGACCATATCAATCTCTTCTCCCCTCAGAATTAAAAAAAAACACTTAAATTAAAAAACTAAATAAATAAATCATATGCCACGTAGTGCACAGACTCAGCAGGATCTGGGTGCAAGGCTGGATGTGTGAATAAACGAAGTCTGCCCTTTCTGGGAATGAATGAGGAGCCCATCAGCACTGGGGACTGTAAGTCAACCTGCATTACTTGGCTGGTTGTTTAGTCAACGTTATTAGTCTAAGCTTCTTAGAAAACACAAAATCCTTTTTCAGATATACTCTACCTTGTATATAAGGTGGGGACATCAGATGGATTTTTTTGTTTTTGTTCACCTAGCAATTCAGTTTTTTTAAAAAGCAGAAATGCTCACTGCCTTGGGCTATTAGAAAAGGAGTTAGTTACAGTGTTAGTTTCTTGGTCAATAAAGAACTGTTCAGTCAGCTTTGTCTGAAAGGCCTGGATTTAAATTACAGGCCACAGGAACCAAGATGGTGGTGTGGGTAAGCACCTGAACCCAATGCAGTTTGGTACTTAAGAGTCTGAGATCTAGAGTTGGGTGACCGGGTTCAAGTCTCAGCTCCCCGCTACCTGGCCTTGTGGCCTTGGCCAAGGCATCACACCTGGCTGGGCCACAGCTCCCTCAGGTGTAAAGGGAAGACACAAATACTGATGCGAGAATAATGGCATTAACAGACATGCAGCCAGTGCCCGGCAGAGAGAGAGGGCTGACTATCACTGCCATTATCACTTACGCACCCTAAGGAGGAGCCTGTCTGAGAGAAGAGGCAGTGGCTGGCATTCCATCCCTTCAGATGCCCGAAGAGTGACAAGGAAGCCTGCTTCTTTCTTGGCACAAGGAAGGAGCTGCCTCCCATGTGGGCTCAGCAGGGTGGTGGGTGGAGCAGAAGTGCTATCTTACCCATTAGGAGCTCCTTTCTCCTCATCACTCTCGTACTCTGAGAGGACCAGCTCCTCCTCCCCAGATGCCAGCTGCTCCAGGGGCTCAGCCTCTGTTCCTGCTGCCAGGATGTCCCTGCTGAGACGGAGGAGACGCTCTGTCTCTTCTTCTTCCTGTCTCTGTACAGGAGCAGTGCAGGAGGGGAAAGATAACCTCAGTACTGATGCCCCCACCTTCGACAGAGTCAGCCTCAGTGTGGCCATCCCCAAGGACCACACACACACACACACACACACACACACACACGCCATTAACTTGGGCCTTGCTGCTTTACTGGCATCAATATCCTAGGTATCACTACCTCGGCTCAAGTTCCCATCCACTGGGTCATAAGGACTTAGGGAGTGGGGGTCAGGGAGAGGAACCTGAAGACCTGGCCACTCACCCAAAGGAGCTACACCTCGAGGCCCCAAGCAGCCACCCCGGGAGATGACACTCACCTCACGCTTGGCTGCATACTTGAGCTGTGTATTGTGACGGAGCTGCTGAAGGCGTTCTTCTCGCTTCTTCCTCCTGATCTGCTCCTTCTAAAGAGGAAAGAAGCCGTAAAGGAGACTCCTGCAGGAAGCCCAAACCAAGGCTTTCTTACAGAGTCTGGGGCTGCTCAGCCTAGTGCCTCTTCACACAAGGCAGTTCTCCTCCCCTGGCCAGCACCCATCACCAGACCCGGAGCCTCGCCAGGTCCCCGCCTCGCTGCTCACTGCAGGAAGTCTGTATACCCCCTGCCAAAGCCACATACTCTCACAATAAAATGCATACCTTATTGAGTTTGCAGCCATGAAACCATGTTGCCAATGGCAACAGTGAGATAGGTTCCTTTCCCAGGTGGGTAATGAATGGGACCTGCCAACCCCTTATCTAGAGAAGGCCTGTTGACATCAGCTTTAAAAAGATAGCAAGGCCCTGGCCAATGTTTCTCAGTGGTTAGAGCGCCGGCCCATGCACCAAAGGGTCACAGTCAAGAGCATGTACCTGGGTTGTGTGTTCACTATGCGCCCTTGGTCAGGGCAGCATGTGTGAGGAGACAATCGATTGATGTAAGAGTCTCTCTCACATAGGTGTTTCTCTCCACCCTCCTTCAAAAGCAATGGTAAAAATATCCCCAGGTGAGGATTAACAACAAAAAAGACAGCAAGGGTGCAACACCATTAACTCAACAAAGCTGCCAGGAGAACTAAGAGGCATTGCAAAGCCAAAGAACACATATTTAAATCTTGGAATCAACCCAAAATAATCACTGAAGTGCTGTTTCCTAGATCACTCCCACTTCTTTTACCCTGGATCTCACCTTTAGTCGGTCCACCAGGTCCCTTTCTTCTTTCTTCTGCACAAACTGAGTAACCCAGTCAGGTTCTCCAGTAGGCCCCAGGGTGTCTGGAGTCTCTTGACATGAGGATGAAATACATGGGGGCTGGTCCTTCCCATCATTGGAGGGGGCAGTTCCAGTTTTAAGGAGATGTGCCTCCTCTTGACGTTTCTTCTCTTCAAAGTCACGAAGCCAGGAAAGGGCCCCACAAATAAGACTTAAGGATTTTCCCTACAGGAAAAACATGTTTTCAGAAATAGAGAACAAACCAAGCTTCCCAAATGACCTTTCCATTTTACTAAAGCTTCAAAAAGAGTCTGACTTTAAATATTAGACCAGCCTGGGGAAGAAAGAAAAGGAAATTAGCAAGAAAAATAGCCAGGAAAAGTAGGACGAAGGAAGGAATAAAAACGAAGCTCTTAGCTTAGTTATACAAGTCACTGCTCCTCAAAGAATTTGAAGTGGCTTATCAGGTTACACATAACTACTGTAAGTCAACATAATTAGAAGTGAGAAAGTAGATAAACGGCCCCCAAAAGAATTAAGGCAAAAACATGTGGAGCATGAAATGCCACCCACGTGCTGAGGAGGAGCGACACCTTTCAAGCAGCTGGTGTGCAGGTAGAACATGACCAGTCCTGTAGTCCCGGCATTCATAACTTTGTTGAAGCAAAAGAACACAATTCTTTTATATATATATATATATATATATATATATATATATATATATATATATATATATAAATATATACACGCACACATATGTATATATGTGTATATGTGTGTGTGTGTGTGTGTGTGTGTGTGTGTGTATATTTATTTATATATATATATATATATAATATAATACAAGAGAGGAAGGGAGAAGGGATAGAGAGTTAGAAACATCGATGAGAGAGAAACATCAATCGGCTGCCTCCTGCACACTCCCTACTGGGGATGTGCCCGCAACCAAGGTACATGCCCTTGACAGGAATCAAACCTGGGACCCTTGAGTCCGCAGGCTGACGCTCTATCCACTGAGCCAAACTATCACTGTAGTTTCAACTAGGAATGCACACCTAGTTGAATAAGACGAAGCATATTCAGAGATTCAGTTAAATCAATTCTTGATTTAAAGACAAGAATTCTCCCTGTGGGTCCGTGTTATGGGTTGAATCTTGTCTCCCCAAAATCCACGTCAAAGTCCCAACCTCCAGTGTCTCAGAATGTGGCCTTATTTGGAAGCAGAGTCATTGCAGGTGTATTTAGTCAAGATGAGGTAGGCCCTAATCCAATATGACTGGTGTCCTTATAAAAAGGGGAAATTTGGACACACAGGCCGCAAAGGAAGGTGATCAGCAGGGAAAAGAGACATCTAAGGAGCGTGGGACGGACGACCAGACAACCGGACACTTAGCATATTAGGCTTTTATTACATAGGATAATAAAAGTACTCTTAACTTGGGATGAGGATCTATTCGCTTTCATCAAATTCTCAGGCCTGAGAATGATGGCTACTTCTGAAGAACGGATGACTCACATATGTTTAGAAAAGCCCCATATGTTCCATTTCTGTCCATTTTTGATAGAGACTGAGCGACAAAGACTTGCAGACAGCAGATGCCAGAAAAACCTGGGGCAGCCATTCTGTGCTGCCTGGGAATGGGGAGCCATTCGCTTCAGCTGTCATCAAGCGAGGAGTAGGAGAGACGTCCCCCATGTAACAGTGTCCCAGGCACAGATGCCTGGTCAGAGAGCCAGCAGCCTCCTCCTGAAAGTGAGCTGAAGAAGTTTCTAAAGGGATGGGCAAAGTTATCTTCCAGAAAAAACGGTGGCAAACTCTAACATCAAGAAAAAAAAGACCACCAAACCCCTGCAGATCCATGTTCCATAATAAGGCCACAGAAATTTTAAACTGGAAAATATTAAAAAGATGTATAATCAACTGCTCACCTGTTATGAAATAAATTTAATAAAGTACCCACAGTATACCTAGCTTTGCACAATGTTATTTCCTTGGGATTTTGTTAAAATAACAGTTTAAAAAGTTTATGCAAAGAAAACTAACTTCATTCTTTCTAAACGCCTACACTGTAGCAAGCACTGGGCTTGATGGTGGGAACACAGAACTCTCTAGAAAGTGCCCACAGGCACAAACTTAAACATCTCACTTGAAGAGTTTATGCATTCCTGCGGGACACGGACCCCAGAACTGCAATGCTATACAAGGCACAGTGGGCACAGAGGCAAGAGGTCAACTCAATGTGGTGGACTCATGAAAGGTCTAAAAAGATGATGCTTGAGGGAAAATAGGCACCATCATAGGGAACGGGCATCTGAGGCAGAGGACTAGAAGGTGAGGCACAGCCTGTAACAACATGGCACCCCTGCAGGAAGCGGGGCACAAGGACAGGAGGCAGCTCTATTAGGGGCGGGATGTGGAAGACAGTGGCTTTTTCTTGAAGGCAACTGAAGTACACAGATGAGGCCACAGAACTGAGAGCACCAACATGAAGGGCCGAGTAGAGGGAAGAGGAAGCCTGGAATGGACAAGGGGCTGAAGACGGAAAGACCTGAGAGGGAGGTGGTAGGCCTTCAGGTTAAACAAGTTGGTATGTACACATGCTCTTCTATGTCCTTTTCTGAACACATTAAAATTAAACCAAAGGCATAAAAGAGGCTCACACACACAAAAACAAAGAAAGTGGAAGAAGGGATAGTAACAAGTTTTAGGAGAGAAAGCAGAGAAATGGAACTAACTTAGCAGAGTAAAGGACACTGAGCCCCAGTGTCTACAGAGGTCTCCTCAGATTCCCCCTCAGAAATGCCCGGAAACTAGCAGGGCCAAGGCATAGCACTGAAAACAAAGGTATTAATTGAAATTCTTTTAAGGATAATTGGACCCCCAAGTTGTAGTCCCCACTCCTCACAGAAGACAGTTTATTCTCTGGTAAAGCTGAGCCAGGAGGTCCTAGAGACAGCAGGTTGAGTGAAGCGTGGGGAAGAGGGCTGAAAGGAGAGCATTAAGTGAGAGACTGTGTACCTGAAGTCACGTCTCCAGTCTCCTCAAAAATACTGGCTGTCAGGCTTGGACCCACTAGGCAAGAGTTCAAAGGAGAGACTTCTCTGGAAAAACTAGAAGGCTCTAGGGAAAATTCTACAAATAGTGACAAATGGAAGCCCCCAAAGAGTGGCTGGGCCTATGGGTCCACAGTCTCCATCACTGGCCTTTCACTCAGCCTTGCAGTGGCATTTTCTTGAACACCAACAGAAGACAGCCAAGGATCGCCAGGCATTTGAGGAAAGCCTCAAAACAAAACATGGAACCCCAAATTGGGGGGTGGGGGGCGGGCAATGCAGGGAGGAAAAGACTTCAAACTACTACTATCACTGATATCTTCAGAATGATATTATTTCCATGAAACAAGAAGAGGATGCTATTTTTTAAAAAATTACAGAATAAGAACAAGCAAGAATATTTAAGAGATGACAGCCAAAATAAACTGAATAGAAAGACTGGGCAATGAAGTTAAAGAAATCTTGAAGAATTAGAATTTTAGGCAAAAACAAAAACAAACAAACCATGGTGCCCAAAGAGATGAGCAATTAGAAGAAAACATAATTATAGGATTAACCAGGAGGCCCAAAACCCAGTGAATGGGAGTACCAAGAAGATTATTATCAAACTAGAGGCCCAGTACACAAAAATTTGTGCACTCAGGCAGGGTCCCTCAGATCGGCCTGTGTCCAGGACCCCTTAGGGGATGTCCACCTGTCGACTTAGGCCCACTCCCTGGGGGGATCAGGCCTAAGTTGCAGTCAGGGAGCCCTCAGGGGATGTTCGACTAAAGGCTTAGGCCCCCAAGGGATCAGGTCTAAACCGTTAGTTGGACATTCTTAATGCTGCCACAGAGGTGGCAGAGGCTCCTACCACCACCACTGCGCTGGCCAGCCATGAGCCAGCTTCTGGCTGAGTGGCACTCCCCATATGGAAGTGCACTGACCACTAGGTGGAAGCTCCTGCATTGAGTGTCTGCCCCCTGGTGGCCAGTGCACATCATAGCAACCGGCCATTCTGCTGTTCAGTCAATTTGCATATTAGCCTTTTATTATTATTATATAGGATGTCCCTATTTCCCCCCTTTTGCCCCCTCTACCCAGCTCTTGCCCCTCACTTCTCTCTGGCCATCACCATACTGTTGTCTGTGTCCATGGGTTGTGCATATATTTTCTTTGGCTAATTCCTTCTTTAAATTCACTTCTTTAAATTTTTATTTTCAGATAAGTGCTTATAACTGCACTATTATATATTTTCTATTATATCATTTAGAATTAAGATATTTTTTAATTGAACCCTTGTAACTTTTAGTACAATTTAATAAATTATGCTAGAAGCAATTAGGAGATTTTTCATGTAATGCAGATACATTTCAATGAATATTTTATTAATTTTTAATTTTTTAATTTGAAATAATCTCATACATGTAAAAAAAAACTATAAAATACTACAGCATATTATATGTACCCTTCACCCAATTTCTTAGGTGTTAATAATTTAAACATAACCATTATACAACTAACAAAATTTGGAATATATTTTTCTTATAATCTCTTTAATGTTACTTAATCCATTTACTTTGTTTTTGTTAATCTTCACCCAAGAATATTTTTCCATTGAATTTTAGAGAGTGAAGGGAAAGGGAGAGACACATTGATTGGTTGCCTCCTGCACATGCTCTCATAGGGACTGGGGATCAAGCCAGCAACTGAGGTACATGCCCCTGACTGGAATCTAACCTGGGACCCTTCAGTCCACGGGCTAATGCTCTATCCACTGAGCAAAACAGGCTGTAGCTTAATTCATTTACTTTTAATCTATATGTGTCTTTATATTTAAAGTGGGTTTTGTTTTTGATTCACCTTCATAATCTGTCTTTTAATTGGTGCATTTATGCCACTGACTTTCAGAGTGCTTACTGATAGAGTTACTGCCATATCAGGCAGCTTCTGGGGCTTCTGGGGCTTCTGGGGCGTCTGGGGCCGGCCTTCCTTGCCGCCCGGGACTGGATCGGATCCCGGGCGGCAAGGCAGGCTGGCCCCAGTGCCCTGGATGGCGCTCGCGCTGTCCCGCCCTGCCTGTAGTATGCAAATTAGCCGCTATCTTTGTTGGCGGTTAATTTGCATATTGCACTGATTAGCCAATGGAAGGTGTAGTGAAGGTACGGTCAATTACCATGTTTGTCTATTAT